AAAAAATTTATTAATACAAGAAGTTATAGAAGATAATCCTATATTTTAGTTTTAAAGTCATACACTTATTTAGAAGGATTAGTAATAGTTTAAATAAGTAGTTAGATTATAATAGATAAATTTTTAATTTCAGACTGAGAATCAGAAAAGTGAAGTTCAAATTTGTTGATTTTATCTAAAAAATAAAAGATGTTAATAATATTTAAAGAAAATTTTAAAATGCGTGAAAAAATCAACAATGCTATCAGGAACAGTAAATTATTATCTTTTATTTTATTTATTAAAAAGTATGTTTCATGAAAAATTAATTGATTCTAAAGTGGTTAACCTATAATTGATATTTTTCTGATTATTTTGAAGAATCAAAATTTCATTTTTTATATAAATAATATTATTTGCTAATATGGAGATTTTATTATCAATATCATCAAAATATTTGAGAATAACTTTTAATATATTAATAATGATAGTAAAAGCATTAGGTTGAGAAAAGATAGATTTAAAATTATTATATTTAAATGCTTCAGCATATGATCTATTAAACCTATTTTTAGATGAAATAATATTGAAGAGTTGATTAAAAGGTTTGTATAGAAGTTTGTATACTGCAGGCTTAAATCAGTTATAGAGTTATCTATAAAAATTTGTTAGTTTTTGAGAAGTATAATTCTTAGCATCATGTTCTGAATTTTTATATTGTTGATAATATGAAGCAGCAGGGATAACCTAATAAAAAATATTAGCCTTATATTTATGATGTGATTGAAGGGTTGCTAAATAATCATCTTGAGTAGTAAAGTTAATATATGTATATAGATGATTTCTATATTGAAATCTCATAAAATAAAACATAATTTAGCTTTAATTTTAGCTAGTAAATTTGAAAGGTCATATTGTGTCATATTAAAAAATAAACCTATAAGTTTCAACTTGAATTTTATTTAAATACTAATTAGATTTGATATAAATCTATTAATTCAATTTTGATGGTAAAGTTAAGAAAAGGTATAGATCATATGGGCTCTTTGCAATAAAAAGAGAGGAAATTACCCAAAAAATTTTTTTTTGCTTGATAAGCTAAATATTATTTTTTTAATAAAATAAGTTCAGATTTAATATTAATTCAAAAAAAATTTTTTTGGTAGTTTCCTCTCTTTCTATTACAAAGAGCCCATATGTTATCATAAAATTGCTTAATAGAGTCAGATACTTCATAAATTATAAATGTAATTTGCTATGGGCTTTTAGTGATCATTAAAAATTGAATAATTATATTATATTGTTGAAAAAATTGCTTACAACATCAGATTTTACAAAAAAGGAAATATTATTGATCTTGATATACCTTTCTTTTTTAGTATCAATTCTTTATTTCTTAGTTATAAGATCATTAATCAGAAATACAGGATTGTATTTTATTTCTTATACTTTTTTTACTGTATAATTAAGTTGCTCGAATAATCAAAAATAAATAAAGAATTTTCTGGATTTAGTATTGTTAACGTGTAATTCTTGTGAACTACAACTGTTAGACGGGATGTTCAAGTGGTTTATTCTTTTCAATTGAACAGTAATCTTTCAACAGTTTACCAGCTTTTAACTTAGTCAGTTTATCAAAAGTATTTATATTATTACGTCGAGTAATTTAACAGATTGCCAATGATTTGTAATTATAAAATAATGTATTTATTCACGAGTAAAATAATAGAAGTAAAAAAAAAAGATAAAAGAAAATAAGAAAATAAAATAAGAAAGAAAAGAAATGAATTACTAAAATTAAAATGTAACGTGATAGGCCAGTTGCCTCTAAAACTACTAAAACTAACTTGTTGAGTTCCTATCTGTCTGTCTTTTTACATGAACTAAAAAGCTACCTATTTATATAAAATAAATTATATAAAGAGATATAACTAACATATCTAATATGTCAACTATGTCTAATATATCAACTATATCTAATATGTTAATTATGTCTAATATGTCAGTTATGCCACATATGTTTGACATATCATATACATCGTTTATGTCAGATTAGTTGATCTTTTGCGCTACATGATCTGCATCACATTTACCTGTTCATATTACTCCCTGCTTAAGATTTCTACTCCTGCAGAAATATCGAAAGTTTCCAGTACAAGAGCTTGATATTTACTGAACTTTAATTGTCGAATCATGGTCAAGGTCAAACATTGAGTATCAAAGATTCGTTGGACTCCTATGTTTTTAAAGAGATGATAAACTTGAATAGCAGTTCGGTAATAATGTTTAGTTATCATTGCCATTTGTATCGTTCGTTAGACCAGTGAAATAGTCACATCATCAATAAGTTGACCTAAATAAAAAGCATTAACAAGAGATAAAATACGGTTCCTCATACAGGTAGAACGTAGTAGAGTTTGATAAGTGGACTGCACTTTTTTAAGCTAAGGATGCATCAGTCTGATATGAAGGTTCCATTGGTCGAACTTCTTCTTCAAGAACAGTTATAGGAATTTGAAGTTCTTTTAAAACTACTTCGAAATTCGTAAGTTCCATTTTATTTATTTGAATACATATTGATGATATAGGTCTCTTTTTATAATATCTTAATGCTGATCATCATTCAATAATAATCTGAGGTTCCTATTCAGTTCGTTTTAGATATAGTTTTAAAAGATCAGCATGTATAGGATTCTTTCTAACTCATCCATCTATTGTACGAAGTTTATAAGTTCCAGGTCTTACAATGTTGTGAATATAGAAAGGTCTATCGAATTTATCCTTAAATTTATCTCCATGAATGTGTGATTGTGTGACATTAAATAATAAAACTTTATCTCCAATTTGGTAAGAAATTTTAGGTCAATTCTTATTATAACGTTCTTGTTGCTTTTGTTGTCGTTGCATAATATTTTGTTGTGCATCTAATCGTTATTGTTGCAATTGTAATGAGATTATCTATTGATGTTTCTCTATGGCATTTGATAAGTTCATGATAGGTGAAGGTCATTGTAGTTGTAAATCTATAGGTAGAACTGCTTTTCGTCCATATAACAACTCAAATAATTCGAATTTAGTTGTCCCCTGCTGAGCAGTTCAGTATGCAAATAATGTTGATACCAAATAAGTATCTCATTCTCCATGATGTTGCTTAGCGTACTTAACTAAAATTGTACATAAGATTTGATTAAAATGTTCAGTAAGGCCATTGGTCTGTGAGTGATACAGTGATGATAATCTATGTTTAGTTTCTACTACATGTAACAAAGCAGTGACTAATTCATTTTAAAATGACATTGCTCAGTCGATTAATATTTCTTTTAGCGTTCCATGTCAACATATGATTTCATTGTAAATAAACTGTGCAGTAGTCTGGGCAGTACAATCTGATCAAATATTCAGTTGCTATAATAATATACCTGTTTTCCTTTGTCGTACGTGAAAGTGGTCTCACGTAATCTATTCCAATATGGTCGAATGGTTGTCCAACAGGTATAGAGTGTAGTGGTTCTTTGGGTTTTGGTCTTCCTTGTCGTTAGCATACATCACATATTCATATCCAATTATCAATCATTTTTATATATACTAGGCCAGTAATATCAAGAGTCAATTTTGTTATAGGTAATTTCGCGTGCTAAATGTCCTCCTAAAGGTTCATTGTGAATATTATGTAGAATACTTTCAACTTCATTAGTTTTGATTACAAGTAATGGTTGAGTTGAATATTTATAATTACATCTATAAAGTTGTTGATTTTGTACGAAATAATGTTAAGCTTATTTTTGAATTACGTGTTGTTGTAAAGGGGTGAGATTTGGGGATATGTGAATTAAGTAAAATATTAGTATAATTGGTGGTAGGTTTTGGTTTCCATGTTGTAGAGCTGTTAGTTATACTGCTAACACTTATGCTTTCACTCTCAGATTTTTGTTATGATTATTGTGGGTTATTATAAGGAAGTCGAGACAATGCGTCAGCGTTTGAATGTAGTTTTCCTTTTTTATATTAAATTTGATATAGAAATTCCATAATACGAATAATCCATCTCATAAACTTACGAGGGGATCAGGTTTATTAAAAAGCCATTGTAAAGCTGCGTGATCAGTAATTAGTTCAAATTGTTGATGTAACAAATATAGTCAAAAATGTTCCATTCCTCATACAGCGGCAAGACATTCTAATTCAGTTGGAGTATAATTCCGTTCAGTATGGCTTATACTTCGACTAGCATAAGCTATAACACGTTCCTTATTATTATCATCTAATTGTGCTAATACTGCGCTAAGACCTATATATGAACCATTGGTAAAGAGTAAAAACTTGCGTTTAAAATCAGGTAAATTAAGACTGGTGCAGTTATTAGGCATATTTTCAAATGCTCAAAAGCCTTTTATTGCGATTCTGTCTAAATATAAGGTATATCTTTTCGTAATAATAAATGTAATGGTGCAGTTGATGTCGAAAAATCCTGAATAAATCTTCTATAATATGACGCTAATTCTAGAAATCCTCGCAACTCGATAATATTCTTTGGGATTGGAAAATTCTTGATTTTATCTATTTTAGAGGGGTCTGGTTAAAGCTTCAAATGGTTCAGATTAATCCGAAAATTTTCAGTTCGGATTAACTTCAGTTCAGTTTCAGATTGCAAAAATTTTAATCCGAAAATTTTCAGTTCAGTTCAGATTTTTTTCAGATTATAAATCATAGGAGGATTTTCACATGATTAGCTAATTATGTTATACGAATTTTGTAATTGATACTGTAAATATTTATACATGTCACGTGATACACTACGTGATAATAAAATTCAACTATTGCATTTAATAAACTATTTTAGCATTTAAATGTATAATAAATTAAAGTATTAAAAATAAAACCTTTGTTTCAAAAATTAGTTTAATTTATTGATTTTATATAATAGTCTTAGTTTTTGTAAACAAAAAAAAAAATTGTAAAAAATTTTTTATTTTTATTGTAACTAAAATGCTTCTCTAAATAAAGTTGTCCTTTTAAACGATCTATTGCTGTTGAAATTTACGCAATGCCTCTTCTAATGCATATGCTACATATTTTATGAGTTCACTTTCATCATCATTGTCATTGCAAGAAATATTATTTTCTGGTTCGACAACCTGCTCTTTTCATTTTTGCAAAGATTGTAATAAAGATTGAACATGTTTATCAACATCGTTGCATAAGAATGAGAAACAATGCAAGCATTTAAACCCATTGTTACTGTAACAGGATCTATGATATATGTAACCGCAAGCTAGAATTTCAATAGGATTGTTTGCAATAATAGATGAAGAAATCAAACAATTAGCCGCATCACAGTAATGAAATTGATATAATTTATATGCAGTACTGAAACCCAAAGAAAGATGGCGTAATTGTGCTTTCGGCATTTTTATTACAACTAAAAGGATATCATTCTTTTCTTCACACTTCTTCTTTGGAGATGGATTGATCTGTAATGGAAATTATATTATTAGTTTATTATGAAATAAGCATGTATAAATTTCTGAAAAACATTGCAATAAAAAACAAGCGCTTTTCTTTGTTAAAGCTATTATATTCTATGCAGAATACTCATATGCTGCCAATGTAGATGTATGCGTAAAATTTTCTTTAAATTCATTGTTATCCAAACGCAAATGATTAATGAAATACCCATATTTAATGATCTGTTGTGCATCTGTGTGTTTCTGCGTACTTTTGCGTAAAAAGCTATGAAAGATTTTCACAGTTGAGTCTAAGAACTTCAGAAGTTCAGCCTTGATAGACTCTAGAATTGGGTGATTGTTTAGCTCCTAATAAAAGATATCAGAAAGAAACATCAATGGCACCTTGGTATAGTTTCTACGATGAAATTTAAGAAATATTATCCAAACACGAAAGCAAGTTTCTAAGTATGCATTAAAATCATCTGACTGGAAAAATACAGCATAAATATCCAGCACAAGTGGAATTGTATTGTCAAAAAGATCTTTGAGTATAAGATATTCAGCATCTTTGCACAAAGGTTTGAATTTTATTTCAACGGTCATAGAAACCTCTTGCCAGACACTGCAGGAAATCTCTAAAAGAAGGTTAATACACCATGACTTAGGCTTTTGCGCAAGTTTTTTATTTTCTCCAAAAATATATGTATACATGGCTGAGAAAAAAGGTTGATACTGAAGGAAAACTAATTCTCAGCTATTTAGTGAAATATGCAGAGGACCTATAACAGGAAGAAAAGACAAAATATTGTTAGTAATATTTGATGAATTACGATAACATAAGTAGTGTAAATAGCTGTTCTAAGATAAATCTATCTAGGCCAATCAGCCACAATGGGGATGATATTTCCTTGCTGAATATACTGCTGTATAGATGGAACATCCACAATGGTGTTAATAGCTTTAATGTATGCATCCAAAGAATAAAGGTCATTTTCTTATAAATCTATAATAATGACATCCTTTATCGAACAGACATTTTGTTTCTCCTTTAACCTAACATCATAACTATATACAGTTAGCTCCTCTAATATTGTATTATCATCAATCATATGAAATCTCTAACGCCAGTTATGTAAAAGACTACAAAGACTCATAAACTTATTTTCCATATTAGTTTTAATCAATTTAGCATTAACTAGAACAGGGTTATGTATATTCATTTTTGGAATTGCATGTTGCATCATAATTGGATTTATCAAAATTATTGCCAGATAGACAGCGGTTGATATGGTAGTTGTATTTGACATTCGTTTCGTGTGAATGCTGTGATAATCATCGATATTTAGTACTATTGCATTCTTCATATATTCAGCAAGTACTGAATTGACAGTCTTAGTATATTCTTCGGATATGGTTATTTTATACTGAGAAACTGTGCGAGATATTGTAGTTACATCTAAATCAGCAAGATATTTATAGAAATATCAGAAGCACCTGTAGAATCTAGATACATCACTAAGTTCTTTTTAGTATCATTAATGAACTTGTTCTGAATCTCACAGAGAAAGTAGCATACAAATAAGAGCTATTTTTGCTCGTTCTTGTGAATCTCTATTTTTGAAGAAGGATTAGACGATAAGTACAATTCATCAAAAAAGAGCTTCAAATTTGCATTATTTTCTTTCATAACTTTGCGAAATTCATCAAATAAGTATAACGTTAACATTTTTTCTTATTTTTACGATTATATAAGACATTAGTCATTGTTTCTACTGCTTTAGAGAGGGACAAAATAGAGGTGAGGGTGATAGTACTAGAGGCGGAGTTTGAGGTGAAGGTAAAGCTTTCAGAGCATATTGTTGAAATTCAAACGAATAATTTACCACAATTCCATTATAATAGTTTAAGCAAATCACATCACCTATTTGTAAATATCTTGGTAAAGTATTCTTAGTTTGACCTTTTGCAATAATGTATTCAGTTACCTTTTTCCACTATGCTGACTGCTTGGTGTAATTACACATAGTTCAGTAAGCATACTTGTCTTCTAAGTAAAGTACCTTTAGATTTTGGATTATCTTGGGATTATTTTGCACAGTGAGTATTAACACACTTTCAAAGCTGAAAATAAAAAAAAATTCATTTTTATAAGTGAAACGTTACATTCTCAAAAAGTACTTTAAACTATATAAATAATGTTCTCTGCAATTGAATAAGATCAGTGAATCACGTGAAAGTCTTCCTATGAAATCTCCCCTTTTTTACATGATAATGTTTCTCGACCTTTTTCTGATCTAATGTGAAAATGTCCTCCCTCATGTTTATAATAATTACAATATACATATCAAGAATTTTTAATTTTATCAAAAGCATGTGAAAGTCCTCCTATGAAACCTACTGGTTTACAGTAATAAAAATGATTATAATATACAGAGGGTCTCCAAAAGTTTACGCACACTTTTTTTCGTACGAATTTTCTCAAAATTTTATTAAGCAATTAAGAAATTTACAAATAATAAATAATGTTCCTAGACTATTAAAATATAAATTTTATTAAGGGTTTAATACTTGGTCGGACCACCATTTGCATTAATTACCGCCTGAATTCGTCGAGGCATACTTTCGACTAAATTTTCGATTTTTTCAAAAGTAATTGATTTCCAAGCCTTTCGTACTTGTCATTCAAGTGAGGAAAAGTTAATGGGCTTTACGTTTTGGCTTCAAAGGTTTTTTTTTAATTTCGTCTCATAAATTTTCGATCGAGTTAAGGTTGGGGCTTTGGGCAGGCCATTCGTCACAAATTATGAGTGCATAAAACAAATCGTGCGGGTTTACGATTTTTGCGAGGTTTGCTGTTTATTATATTGCGATGGTGGTGATATATTTAGATGAAAATGGTGGTCCGATCAAATAATAACAGCTTAGTACAAAATTTAATTTACTATTTGTAGATCATTTGCTTAAATAAAAATATGATTAAAATTCATACAAAAAAAGTGTGCGTAAACTTTTGGAGACCCTCTGTATATGATTCTTAACTAATATTCTTGAAAAAAAAATCCAACGTATCGATGTCAAGTTCTTCCCAGAGGTCTAATACTTCAAAAACGTCTAATTTCGTTATATCGAGCTTTCCGCAGTAATTAACTCTAATTGTAATAAAAAAAAAAAAATAATTCATCATTAACATTACAAATTTACAGTACCTTAAGATAATTTTGAACAATTTGAAGAAATTCTTTTTAAAAATCTTCCATCAACTTTAGCGGTCAACGTCAAGCGAAATATTGTGACCTTACGAAGAAAATATCTGAATGTGCGTGTATTTTTATATTAAAGATGGTCATGTTGGTCGGTCAACGGTTGGTCAAATGTCTTTGACCGACCGGTTTATGACCGATTTTAACTGACCGAATGAGCAACTTTTATATAAATTCAGTCATTTTTATTTAGTGGAACAGCATTATCGCGGACTTTAACTTTTAATTTATAGTAATTTCGATAATTTAATATCAGTCGGTCAACCGGTCGGTCAGAAGCCTTTGACCATTAGCATCCCTAGTCACAATTGTCTTTATAAGATACGTTATTATTAATATCTTCAAGCTTCATATTTTATTTATTTAATTTATACTGTATATGCATCTTTATTTATGTAGGTAATGAATGAAAACATGAATTTAAGGTACAATGTTTTTTTTGATACTTTTTTTTATCAAATAGTTAGTCATTTAAAACATTAAATAAAGAGATTATCGGATATGTAGCAATAGAAGACTAGATAGGAACTTAAAATCAGGAATTCGAGTATTTACCGTGGATGAAGTAGCGAAGAAATCGTTGGTTAATTGGTAAGAGTAATTTTGGTAATAACCAGTCCAGTACATTAGATTTAGTATATTGGTTGTCATGAGCTGAAATTATTGTTTATTTTTCAAATTATGAATAGATTCACTGCATTATTTTTTAAAATAAAATCAACGTGTTTCGGATGAAGTAATTTTCTCATCTCCGAAACTTTTCGCAGTTGAACATTCTTATATCCGAAACATTTTAATTTGGAAACACTTTGTAGATCAAAATTATTTAAACTTTTAACGTTAGTACATCATTTCAAGATTTAAATTATTAGGTTAAATTTTGACACATCCAGACTATTTTTCTTTCGGTGCTTATATTTAATAAAGTATCGATTTTATTCGGTGGCGCTAATAAAAAAAAAAAAAGAGTTTTTGCTTTTGAGAATTTAAGTTACTGACAGTATAGTGATCGTCAAAATTACTTTTTACATAAAAACTGGATTAATTATCAATTCTTGTGTTCAACAGCCATGTACTCCCCTACCTGCATAAACAATTTGTTCTTTAAACAAAGAAAATAAATAATACAAATTTCCAATAGAATTCTAAAAGAATTTCTTAAAAATCCCAAATTTCCAATTTAAGTATAATTCTAGAATTTTAATTTGGAATTTCGATCAGAATCGCAAATTATTTTTCTAAAATAAAAAATTATAAAATGTTATTCATTTCAAATTCTATTTATCTAACAAAATGGAACTAAAAATGACAAATAATGAAAGTCATTTTGACCCAACTCCAAAATTAAAATCCAGTCCTGTACCAATTACGTTTATTTCTTTTCGCTACATGTATGGTGATAAATGTCATTGTGGGAGTAAATACTTTAGAACACGTTTATTTTATCAAGAATATTGTAAAAGTTGCTTTTCCATGTATATTGGTTGTGTTGATAAAAATAATACGTATTTGGATGTGCTTATAGTTACAAATAATGTACAATGTAATAAACATGAAGCTAGGAGTATAAACTTTTGCACACAAAACATTCATGAATGGTGTGAATTTTGCTCTGAAATTTTATATTTCAAACAAGTATATCGTTTAAATAATACCGGTACGTTTTATGAACACGAACACGACATATTAGAAAATAATAAT